GTCTTCCACCTTATACGAGTCGCTTAAAACTTATTAACCTTCCTACACTTGCCAGTCGCTTGGTATAATTTTTTTGGTTAAATTACTGACAGGCTCAATTTCAAGTCCGTCTCTTCTGGCTGATGTAAGCTTTAATGTTCCCTCACGCGTATCAAGACACTTTTGTCCCATATTTCTGAAAGCTTGTAAAACCAATTTTGAATTGCACGACCCACTCCGTTGCTTATGCCAGGATTTTAACTCTCATTCCAGCACGTTTGATATATCAGATCCGCTTTTCAGCATTAAGAAAGCGATACTCTCCTCTCTCAATAAGTGAATTATTGACATAAATACATAAAATCAGCTGATGAATTTAGTTCTGTAGCTGAACAAAAATTTGTAGCGCAAAAATTTAAAATATTGGTTCCGTACGTCATGCGGACTGCGCCCCTCGTGTGGATGGGCGGGAATGGAGGGTAAAAACCGTTGGGATATTATTATTATTAAGAGTCAGTTCAAAGCGAAACAAATTTCTGAGTTTAGTTTCGAAACAGCTATAAAAGCTATTCCGATTTTTTCCGGAAATCATAAAGACTTGGAAGCATTTCTAAAAATTATCGAAATAATGTATAACGGTCTAACTGAAAGAGGTAAATTAGCACTGATAGATTTTGTAGTTTACGTGAAACTAAGTTAAACGGTGAAGACAAACGTGACTGCAATAGAAACACTACAAACATTTGAGGGATTAAAAGCGTCATTAATTAATACATATAAAAGCACAACAACTATTCCACACATAAAAAACCAACTTGCCAATCTTACACAAAGAAATTTAAGTGTCACTAACTTCAAAAACCAAATTTTACATCTAACATCTGAATTGAACACATTGCAAATAGGACAGTTAGGTACAAAAGCAACAAATGAACAAAAGTCATTAATCACTAAACTAAATAATCAATACAGTCTAACAATATTTCAAAACGGACTAAATGACAAACTCAAACAAACAGTATATGGAGCACTACCCAAACTTTTGATACCGCTACTGAACTCGCACTAGAGAAGGGAATCAACACAGCAGGAACGTTATGTTTATCAGAATTAATTAGAGAAGCCACAACTATACGAATAATCCCAATAACTCTTACAGGCGAAATACGAAAAGCTACTTTAATGGTCAATCTATTAACAGGTACAATAACAGTAATAGCCATAACGATAACAGAATACCGCACAATAATACAAGAAACATTTCTAACCAGAGACAAAGCAATAACTACCATAATGTGAATAGGAGCTCAAACAATTCAAGAGCTAGCAACCACAGCAATAATCAGAGAGATTATTCCATGAAAGACAGACTAATAACTATGATAGGAACAATCAAAGATACCTCCCCAGAAATCAGGAAAGAAATGGTCTCCAAGTGAACGTTGTCCGATTTCAGGGAAACGTAGGCGACCTGGAGGACCACAATGGCACTCCTCCAGGGGACAGGGACATGTAAAAAAAACTACGCAACGGAACATTTAACAAATCATACAACAATATACAGTTTAGAATTCAATAAGCCAATGACATTCCTTATAGGCACAGTAGCAGAGATCTCGATGTGTAAAAATCCATTCGACTTTGGCACNCGAGCTATAACTTTACATTAAATAAAAAAATTTCTCATTTAATAAAGATTTCAGAACGGTGCCACTCTTACTGTTTCGAATAGAAAAAAAAGTTATAGCCGTTTTTGTGGGCAAAGGACTGACACACGCTAGAATGAATTTAATAGATTTAAATTTAAGCTGCTCTTGTAACCGACCAATGACATGCTAAATAGTACAAAGGTACATTATTACCTGCTCCTTCTTCTTCTTCTTTTTGGCGCTGTAACCGTCTAAGCGATTTAGGCCGAGTTCAGCAAAGCACGCCAGTCGTTTCTCCTCTGTGCCAACTGACGCCAATTGGAAACGCCAAGTGAACCCAAGTCCTTCTCCACCTGATCTTTCCATCACGGTGGGGGCCTCCCTCTTCCTCTGCTACCACCAGCGGGTTCCGAGTTGAATACTTTCAGAGCTGGAGCGTCGGTGTCCATTCGAACGACATGACCAAGCCAGCGGAGCCGCTGTATTTTAATTCGCTGCACTATGTCCATATCGTTGTAAAGCTCATACAGCTCATCGTTCCATCGTCTGCGGTACTCGCCGTCGCCAACGCGTAAAGGACCGTAAATATTCCGCAAAATCTTTCTCTCAAACACCCCAAGAGCCGCCTCATCGGATGTTGTCATTGTCCATGCTTCTGCGCCATATACCAGCACGGGCATGATGAGTGACTTATAGAGCGTGGTTTTCGTACGTCGAGAGAGGACTTTACTCCAGAATTACCTACTCAGTCCAAAGTAGCACTTGTTGGCAAGAGTGATTCTGCGTTGGATTTCAATGCTGACATTATTGTCGGTGTTAATGCCTGTTCCCAAGTAAACGAAATTTTCTCAACAGTGACGTGGGTGCCAAGGCGCGAATGTACTGACTGTTTGTTTGATGACAGGAGATACCTCGTCTTGTCCTCGTTTACCACCAGACCCATTCGCTATGCTTCCCTATCCAACTTGGAAAAGGCAGAACAGACTTCGCGGTTTTTGTTACCGATGATGTCGATGTCATCGGCATAAGCCAGCAATTGCACGCTCTTGTAGTAAATTGTTCCTGAGCGGTTCAGTTCTGCAGCTCTCTTCTCCAACATCAGATTAAAGAAGTCACATGAAAGGGAGTCGCCCAGTCTGAAACCCCGTTTTGTGGCGAACAGTTCTGAGAGGTCTTTCCCAATTCTGACGGAGCTGGTGGTATTGATGAACGTCATTTAAACAGTCGTATGAGTTTTGAGGGGATGCAAACTCAGACATAGCGGCGTGTAGGCAACTCCTTTTAGTGCTGTCAAAAGCGGCTTTAAAGTCGACAAATAGGTGGTGAGTGTCGATCCTTTTCTCGCGGGTCTTTTCCAAGATTTGGCGTATTGTGAATACCTGGTCTATGGTGGATTTGCCAGGTCTAAAGCCACACTGATAAGGCCCAATCAGTTCATTGACGGTGGGCTTCAGTCTTTCACACAATACGCTCGATAAGACCTTGTAACCTATGCTTAGAAGGCTGATCCCGCGGTAGTTGGCGCGAATGGCGGGGTCACCTTTCTTGTGGATTGGGCAGAGCACACTTAAATTCCAGTCGTCGGGCATGCGTTCATCTGACCATATTCTGCACAAGAGTTGATGCATGCACCTTATCAACTCCTCGCCGCCGTACTTGAATAGCTCAGCTGGCAGGCTGTCAGCTCCAGCAGCTTTGTTGTTTTTCAGCCGCGTTATTGCTATACGTATCTCGGCATAGTCAGGCGGTGGAACGTCGACTGCGTCATCATCGACTGCGCGCTCGGGTTCTTCTTCTCCACAACTTACCCGTGCTGCTACCATTTCGTAGGGCGGAAAAGTGTTCCCTCCATAATTTAAGTACGCTCTGGACATCAGTTACTAGGTCGCCATTATTGTTCTTACAGGAGTGCGCCCCGGTCTTTAAACCTTCCGTAAGTCGCCTAACTCTCTGGTAAAATTTTCGGGCATTCTTCCTGTCGGCCAGCATTTCAAGCTCTTCGCACTCACGCATATCGGCCTCTCTCTTCTTATTGCGGCAAATACGTCTCGCTTCCCTCTTCATATCCCTATAGCGGTCCAACATAGCGCGCGTTGCGCCCGATCGCAGCGTGGCCCTATAGGCGGCCGCTTTTTTCTCTGCAACTTCCTGACACTCCTCATCGTACCAGTTGTTCCGTCGGGCTCGCTGAGATCCGGCTACTTCTTCGGCGGCGGTACTTAATGAGCGGGAAATGTGGTTNCGAACATTGTGTTATTAATACTATGACAGAGAACATGCAGTATACGTACGGTGACCATATTAACCAACGTAAAATAAAGGACATTTTTTCAAAATGATTTGGGAATACGTATGATAAAAGTACCTTACCCATTTCGTAATTTAAATCAAATATTTACCAGTCAGTTAACCGATTCCGAAAAATGAAGCCAAATCCATTTCAAGGACTCCGCCAGCCTTGGCTGCACGCGTAAACCAGCACACAGTGGTTCAAAATTGGAATTTAATGTTCATAATCTACCGTAGTCTTAATTTTTCAACCAATTTTTACTAAAAAACCAAAAAAAAAATATTTTGGTGAAAGTTATTTTATAACATTTCAAATTTTTTTTTTGTAATTTTTTCGTTTTGAGGAACCATACAAATGTTTTCAACTAGTCTTTGTTATATAACATTTATTAACTGGGACAGGAGAATACACTTTCTTCAAAATTGCCACTTTTTCTGCATTTTGCACTACAAAATTTAATATAATCAAATAAAAATTCACAATTCAGACTCAACTAGTCTCTTGCAAATGTTATAAGCTTTCATAAAAAAAAGATCAAATTAAGTGAAAACTAGTAAGAAAGTTAAGGTTCGGGCGGATCCGAACATTAAATACCCGGCTCAAGTATTAAATATATGATTTTCACCTTTCCGAAAGCTACCGCTACATGGTAAGCCGGGGTGTATAAATTTTTAGCGTCCTTCAATTTCGAAATATTGAAGTGTGAAGCATTTCTGAAATTTACCGTTATATGAAAAGCGGGCGTAATTTTAGTCTGATTTCAATAATTTTCAACGATTTGCTTTTATGTGGCAAGCACAATAGCCATACCGAGTTTGGTACAAATTGGTAGAACGGTTACCGAGATACATATATGTGATCATAAGTGGGCGGTGCCACACCCATTTTCCAAAATTTTATCATAAACGTATTTCTTGATAAAGAATTGTTGCAAGCATCAATTTTGAATAAATTAGCTGTAATATTTACTGATTTATCGAAGATTTTGTATTTCTCTA